TGTTTAAAATGAAGACACAGAAACACACATTAGCCTAGGCCTACACCAGTTCAGGATTATCCATATCACTGTCTTCCACCTCCACATCTTGTCCCATTGGAAAGTCTTCAGGGGCAGTAACACATGGACTTGTCATTTCTTATAATAACAATGCCTTCTTCCAGAATATCTCCTGAAGGGCCTGCCTGAGGCTTACAGTTAACTTTTTCTTTCTTTTTTTTTTTGGAAGAAAGAGAGAAAGAAAGAAAAAGAAAAAAAAAGAATAAAGGAAAGGAAGAAAGAGGAAGAGGAAGAGGGAGAGAGAACAGGGGTGTGGCTTTTCTGCCCGGGGTTAAAATGCAGTCTAAAAATGGGTATGCCTGTAATTATGTTTAATAATAGAGAAATTAAAAAAAAAAACGAGGGAAGAAAATAATTAACAAGCAGCCAACCAATATTTCATTTAAACCTGTAAATACGTGTGATGTAGTACTGATAAGAGTGTATATTTTGTGTATTTAAAGTGGAGAGCTCTATGAATGTTAATTAAGTCTACTTGTTCCGGATCTGAGTTCAAGTCCTGAATATCGATGTTAACTTTCTGTCTCATTGATCTGTAAGTCTCCCACTATTATTGTGTGGGAGTCCAAGTCTCTTTATAAGTCTTATATATCTGGGTATTTCTGTATTGGGTGCATATACGTTTAGGATCTTTAGCTCTTCTTGTTACATTGATCCTTTTATCTTTATGTAATATCCTTCTTTGCTTCTATGGATCTTTGTTGCTTTGAAGTCTATTTTATCAGCAAAATTTGCAACTCCTGCTTTCTATTTATTTTTGCTCTCCATTTGGTTGGTAAATTTTTCTCCATCCCTTTGTTTTGAGTCTTTGTGTATCCTTGCATGTGAGATGGATCTGGATGTAGCATACCAATGGGTCTTGGCTTTTTTTGCCCATCTGTGTCTTTGGATTGGGGGATTTAGTCAATTTAAATTTAGAATTAATAACAATATATATGACTTTGATGCTGTCATTTAATGTTGGCTGGCTGTTTTGCCCATTAATTGATGCAATTTCTTAATTATGTTGATATTCTTTATTTTTTGGCATTTTTTAGAAAGGCTGATACTGGTTGTTCCTTTCTATTTGTAGTGGTTCTTTCAGAAGCTCTTGTAAAGCAGGCCTGGTGGTGATGAAATCTCTGAGTGCTTGCTTGTTCACAAAAGATTTTATTTTTCCTTCGCTTATGAAGCTTAGTTTGGCTGGATGTAAAATTCTGGGTTGAAAGTTCTTTTCTTTAAGGATGTTGAATATTGGCCCCCACTCTCTTCTGTCTTGTAGGGTTTCTGCTGAGAGATCTGCTGTGAGTCTGATGGGCTTCCCTTTATGGGTAACCTGACCTTTCTCTCTGGCTGCCCTCAGTATTTTCTCTTTCATTTCAACCCTGGTGAATCTGGCGATTATGTGCCTTGAGGTTGATCTTCTTGAGGAATATCTTTGTGGTGTTCTGTGTATTACCTGGAGTTGAATATTGTCCTGCCTTGCTAGGTTGGGAAAGTTTTCCTGAATAATATCCTGAAGCGTATTTTCCAGCTTGGATTGATTCTCTTCGTCACATTCAGGTACACCTATCAAACGTAGATTAGGTCTTTTCACATAGTCCCATATTTCTTGGAGACTTTGCTCATTCTTTTTTATCCTTTTTTCTCTAATCTTGTCTTTTTGTTTTATTTCATGAAGTTGGTCTTCGACCTCTAATATCTTTTCTTCTGCTTGATCAATTCGGCTGTTAAAACTTGTACATAGTTTGTGAAGCTCTCGTGTTGTATTTTTCAGCTCCATTAATTCACTTATATTCCCCTCTAAATTGTGTGTTATTTTTAACATTTCGTCAAACCTTTTTTCAAAGTTCTTAGTTTCTTTGTATTGGGTTAGAACAAGTACTTTTAATTCCCAGAAGTTTCTTATCATCCACTTTTTAAAGCCTGCATCTGTTAATGGAACACAGTCTTTCTCCATCGGGCCTTGTTCTGTTGCTGATGCGGAACTGTGATCCCCTGTAGAGGGAGAGGCGTTCTGAGTTTGGGTATTCTCAGCCTTTTTTAGGCTGTTTTCTTCCCTGCTTTATAGATTTATCCATCTGTGGTCTTTATAATTACCGTCTTTATAGTTGGGTTTCTGAATGGACGTCCAACTTGTTGATTCCCGGCACTAGAATCCGAGCAACCCACTGCGCCGGCCAAAACGGCGGCTTTAAGATTGATGGTGCTTTTCTGACTCTGCACCAAGAACCGCCACACCAAGGCAGCGGCAAAACTGCCTCACCGGCCTCAAGAGTCGCGCTGGCGACACGTGGGGCTCCTCCGCTGGGAATCTCCTGGTGGGTGAGCAACAAAAATTGATCTGAAAGTGTGGCGTCCTCTCGTTCTCTGCTCTTTCAGTGGGAGCTACATTCCCAAGCTGCTAGTGATCAGCCATCTTGGATCTCTCTCTTTTTTTTTTTTTAAATGACCGCTTTAATGTATTAGGCAAAATTTTACATAAAATCAGAAATCTATGATCTGTCCCTGCTCCAATTGGTAAAAAATGCAAGATTTACCACAAAGCCATGTGCAGTCAGGCCCCTGCTGGCCAGCGGGGCCAGCTTTCTTAATAAGGAAAGGCGTATGCTCTAAAATAATGACATGAAGTATAGTACAGTAAATATATAAGCCACTTACAGTTATTTGTTATCAAGTATTATGCACTGCACATAACTGTATTGCTAGACTTTTATATGGCTGGCAGCACAGCAGTTCTGTTTATAACAACATCACCACAAACACATGAGTACTCCAGTTATAACCCTACGAAGACTACAACATCACTAGGCAACAGGAATTTTTCAGCTCCATTATAATCTTATGGGACCACCGTTGTATATGTGGCCTGTTATTAACCAAATATTATTAGGCACCACATGATTGTATGATTATCTATATATCTCTAGCACTTTTTCTGACGATGGAAAGATCTGCATTCTGATCCAAACGAAGAGGCTGATCCACAATCAGTATGTGAAATCACTGACTAAACTCAATGCCTGCTGGGAAGTATATGATTTATAAATATAGTTACAAAAATTTAATACATTATCTTTTTACATCTAATCCTTAGTTACATGGATTTCAGTTTTTATGATACCTATACACTCAATTTATATAGTGGGATCAGAATCAGATTAAGGGGTAGATGGGCTGGCAGTTTCCTGGGACCCTTATCTGTAAAGGAATCTAAACTAATACCAAGGCCAAGCATGGTGGTTCATAGGCATGAAATTGGACCGGGAAAATCATAAAATCGGACTGGGAAAATCAGACATGCTAGGCTCCTCCTCGGGAATGGGTTGAGAGTGGACAGAGTGGGAAAAAATTTTAAAAGAGGTCTGAGGTAGGGATAGGAGTGGTAATGAATCTAATGCACCTGCACATGAACACACATGCGTGCATACACACACACACACACACACACACACACACAGCCTTCTCGTGTTAGAAAACATCCTTATGGTTTCTTTTTTTGAGACAGAGCGCCATGAAGTGCTGTGGTGCAATCTCGGCTCACTGCAACCTCCACCTCCCAGGTTCTAAGGGATTCTCCTTCCTGAGTCTCTCGAGTAGCTGAGATTACAGGTGTGCGCCACCATGCCCAGCTAATTTTGTATTTTTAGTAGACAAGAGGTTTTACCATGTTGGCCAGGATGGTCTCGAACTCCTCACCTCAGGTGATCCACCAGCCTTGGCCTCCCAAAGTGCTGGTATTACAGGGGTGAGCCACTGAGCCTGGCCCATTCTCATGGTGTCTAAACTGCCAACTAAAGAAAGTACATGCCATTAAGGATGAACCATGGGCCTCCTGTTTTGCTGAGTGCACCATACACAGCACACTGCCACCAGCACCTTCCCACCTCTCCTCTTCTCTACAGAAGCAGCCATTCCCTGAATGATGGCTGAGGAAAAGCTTCAAGAATAGCAAGTTTGAAGGGATGCCAGGCCAGAGCTTTCCGGGACACCTGGGGTTTGCTCCTGCCCTGAGTACAATCAGTGTTGTGAACCATGCTTCACATTTCCTTAATACCTAGGATTGATTTCTCCTGCCTATTTGTCCTTCTTCCTCTCAAGTCAAAACTCACATTCCTATAGATCTCAGTACCCCTAGAGGCAATTAAAACATGTGATTAAAGTAATTCATAATAGGAGTTAACCAACAGTGTTTACCTTTCCAGGTAATGTTGATTGTTAAGGAGAGGTTGGTAGCCTAAATAGAGATCTCACTGGTAAAATGTGTCTGGAGGTCTTCCCTCCTTTCTCTAGAAGAGTGCTGGCCACTTTTAAACATGTTCCTGATACTCTGCTTGCTCCTCCCCTTGCATCCCAGGTATCTCCCTATAAGCCCTTCTTCTAAACATCTCTCACTTGCCACTTATTCTGGCTCAGTTTCTTGCAGGAGGTGAAATATTCAAGGGCCTGATGCTTAGTTCTAGGAAGATACTGTTCATTCAGCACCTTCCACATTTCAGTACTCCAAAATTCATTCACTGATATGTGACGTGGAAAAAACCATAATTCCCCAAACCAGCACACACATAGCAAATGCTATCCACTGTATGAATCAGCTCCTGGCTTAGCACCAGATATTCAGAGTGACTTCAAAACATAACTGAAAAGTAACTGAAGTCAACAACGTCCATGATAAATAAAATGAAAGCTATTTCCCTTTTGAGAGAAACTACTTAAAAAGGAGTTGGGGGTAGGAAGAAAAAGAAGGAAGGAAGGAAACCCAGTTGAAACTTGGTGTTTACTTGAAGGGGAGCCAGCAGAATGTAATGCATAGACAGTGTCACAGCACAGAGGGAAGGCATCGCTCAGAAGGCTTCCTTGGTGCTATTAAATTTCTTCGGTGGCAGCCTGGGCTGGGGAGGCAAGGCACAGAAGTTGCATTCGGGGTTCTGAGGACCAACAGGTGGTATCTGTGAACTTACAGGGATAGAACGGCTCAGGAATCTTGCTGAAGAAGAAGAAAGCCCAGTGTAGGGGGGTTGAAGGATGGTGGTGTGCTCCTCTGTCTTGGCGCTTTGGGGGCCCGGGGGGCTGTTCAGGTTGCCCCCACTGCTGTTGCTGCTTCTGTTGTACTGATTGTTGTTGAGCTCAGGGTAATTTCTGGTAGTCGGCTGGGAGCTGCCATTCAAGAGGTTGGTAAACGGGCTGGCTGTGAAACCGACCTTAGAGGATGAGGAGGTCTTTTTGTTCTCTGGATCATCTGTTGCAGCATTCAAGTTCCCTAGAGAACTGGCTAGCCGGGAGTTTATTGAAAAGCTGAATGGAAAACACAAATGAGGAGGGAAAAAACAGACAACAGTGCATACTTACACACAACTCATGTTTCTAAAACACATACTCATGACATTAGAGGAACAGGATGAAGACAATTCTGATCAATGTGAATGATGGCAGGATGGCTTCTTCATCACCCTTGATATTATGATAATATGTAGCCCTGAATTATACATATCACATTCCTTTGTCAAAAGCAGTTAACTAGGACCCAAGAAATTCGCTAAAACACTTTGACTATAGATCTCGAAATAGAACACCTGGGAATTTTATTTACTCTGGGGTGGGAAGCAAAGGAAAATGGCCATAAAAGGCGAGAGTTAAAAGCAGACTTAAGTACATATTCAATCACATGACTACATCAAACCTCCCCACCCATTTTGGTTAGTTCTCCCCTGCCTATATGTCTCAGCTGAGAAATGACAATATCATTTATATATGCAACTGAACTCCATTTCCTAGATCACACTAAGCCAGCTGCAGACTCACTGGAAGAAGAGCATGCTCTACCCCATTCCCTCCACAGCCTTGTCTCCTGCCTTGCAGGACCAGAATGAAGCCCCAGAAGATCACAGGGTCTTCTGTGGTTTCTCATCTTCTCCCTTGTCCTCTCCTCTGACAAAACTACAGCCAAACTCTACAGCTGCAAGCTTCCTTTACCTTCAGCCAGCACCTTGGAAGAGGAAGAGAAAAATTACCTTCTTACAGTGGTGCCTGAAGACAAAGAAGTTCTGTTGATCCTCTTGGCTGTCGCTGAAGGGGACAGTGCCACTTTTGATGTCTTCAGAGTAGGTGCAGATCCTTGCGGGGAAGAACTTAATCTTTGTGGAGAAAAATGGCAAAATGCCATGATAAAGTAGTCTTATCTTAGACATTCAGCAACTAACTAGGACAAGATAAATTAATAAATCTTAACGATATCATGACAGGTCCTAATAGTGATGACAGCAGCAGCAGCCAACACTGACACAGCGCCTAACTCTGCCAGGTGCCATTCTGAGAACCTTAAAGACGTCAGCTCAGCTCATCCTCCCAACAACCCCATGAGGTGGCTAATATTGCTGTCCTTACTTTACAAGCAAGGAAACAAGCACAGAGGAAAAGTTCCTCATCCAGTCACTCAGTTAGTGAATAGCAGAGTTCAGACTAAAACCCAGGAGTCAAAGTCCTGCTCTTAGTCATGATCCTGTCTTCCTTGGTACTGCCCTTTTTCGCCACTGGTATTCATTCCTCAGTACAACCTTAGATTCCACTTCTTATAGTTCAAATCCATCCTCTCCTTTCCCCCCTGCAACTACCCTAAGTGAAGCCATCTTTATTTCTTATTCTTGACTACAAGGGGCATCTTTTAATCTTATTCCTAAACAATTCAAATTGTGAATAGCCTCCAGTGAAATCTAAAAAGAGAATCGTGTCACTTGACTGTTTAAATCATTTCATCTTTCCTCTGTGCCCATAAGCATAAATAAACTCTTTGTCTTGGCTTATACAACCCCTCCAAAATCTGGACAGGTCCTTCTTTCCACTTTCCCATTGGACATCTCTATTCCAGCTACATAAAAAAATGCCTTGAGTTCCCTGAATGGGTAGCATCCACACTTCTGACCAGTTTGCATAGGCTACTGTCCCTGCCAGGGCATTTTCTCACCTCCTTCCCTTCCTCTCCTCTTCTCTTCCATGTCCATTTGACCCACTCCTATCATACTTAGCCTTTAATGGTCCAGTCAGCTGTTACTTCACGAAGCAAGCCTTCTCTGAGTTCCCAAGCAATATGTGTTTCATTATATATTCTCATAGTAAATCGTAGCTCTTATATCATATTTTATCATCTACTATTTGTCTATTTCCTTTACTTGATATAAGCTCCTTGAGGACAAAGGCTTATCTCTCATTTCAATTCCCAGTGGTTAGCACAATGCTGGACTCAGAGCAGGTGCTCAATAAATATTTGCCAAGTGGACAAAAAGGAAAAATTGACTTAAATCTTGATAGCCAGGGCCCATTCATAATCTTAATACCAAATCTGTTTGATTCTAGATAAATCATTTAATGTAACTAAACTCTGTTTTCCTCTCTGCTGGAGAAAAGTTTATTTACGTGTAGACTCTTTCCTTCATCATCCACCGTCATGTTTGGCCTCCAAAACAAAAATGGGAAAAGTTGTACAAAGAAGCAATTCAAGCCTCTCCAGAAGCTCTGGAAGCTTGAGTCCTCTTAGAACTGCCCCCACTAAACAGTCCTAAACCTAAGAATGCGTAAGTACCAGCAGGTGAAGCACTTCCTTCCCCTATTTCATCAACACTCTTGGCCAAACAACTCGCCACACCAGATCATGGTACCACTCCAGAAGTTTTCAGGGGATATTTTTCCAGAGAACAAAACTAGTGTTTCCTCCTCAAATAGAAGATAGAGGAAAAAAATTAGAAAATAAAGGAGGGGAAAAAACACATGCTGGATGGGAAAATAAAGAGGGAAGGGGACCAATAAAAATGAAAACAATTGGAGCTCTACAGAGGGAGGATCCAAGATGGCCAAATAGGAAAGCTCTGGATTGCAGTTCCCAGTGAAAATACAGAGGGTGAGTGATTGCCACATTTCCAAAGGAATTTTTACTGCCCATGGACCAGGAGATTCCTGGGCGGAAAAGCACCACAAGTCTCCAGTGCAGCTGTTTCAGCCAGCACAGTGGGTCTCCACACAAAAACTCACACAAATCCAGGCACCGTTTCAACTGGCGACTGGAACGCAGGGGAGACAGTCGCCCATTCAACTGAAAAAAAGGGGGCTGAAACAGGGAGCCAGGTGATCTGGCTTGGCTGGTTCCACCCCCACAAAGACCAGCAATCTAAAACGCTCTGGATTGAGAGTTTCACAGAAAGCACAGCTGGACCCAGCTCTGTGGGTGGAAGGGCATCCGCCATGACCGAGGCAGTCCACCACTACCCAGGCAGTCCATTATTACTGAGGCAGTCCGCCATTACCGAAGCAATCCACCATTACCAAGGCAGTCTGCCAATACCAAAGCAATCCGCCATTACGGAGGCCGTCCGCCATTACAGAGACAGTCCACCGTTACCAAGGCAGTTCTAACTATACCCCTATAAACAAAACTGCAAGGAAGTTCACATAGCAGCTAGGTAGAGCCCACGGCAGCTCAGCAACACCTCTGCCTGCAGACTGTGACTAGACTACATCCTTACTGGGCAAGGCATCTCTGAAAAAAGGCAGCAGAATGACAAGAACTTACAAATAAACCCCTACTTTCCTGGGACAAAGCACCTGGGAAAAAAAGGCAGTTATGGATTCCGCTGTAGCAGACATAAACATACCTGCCCAGCAGCTCTGAATGGAACAACAGAGCTCACAGCTCAACACTTGAGCTCCTATAAAGGACAGACTATCTCTTCAAGCAGCTCCCCAACCCCTATATAACCAAAGAGACACCTCATAAAGGAGAGCTCAGGCTGACATCTGGCAGGTATCCTTCTGGGACAAAGATAACAGGAGAAGAAACTGGCAGCAACCCTTACTGTTCTGCAGCTCCCACAGGTGATCCCCAGGCAAGCAGGGTCTGGAGTGGGCCTCCAGCAGTCCTACAGTAGGGGGGCCTGACTGTTAGAAGGAAAACTAAGAAACAGAAAGAAATAACTTCATCAGCAACAAAAAGGAAGTCCACTCAGAGACCCTATCTGAAAGTCACCAACCACAAAGACCACAGGTAGATAAATCAACAAAGATGGGAAGAAACCAGCACAAAAGATGAAAACACCCAAAACCAGAATGCCTCTCCTCCTCCAAGGGATCACAACTCCTCACCAGCAAGGGAACAGACTGGATGGAGAATGAATTGGATGAATTGACAGAAACAGGCTTCAGGAGGTAGGTAATAAGATACTTCTCTGAGCTAAAAGATCATGTTCTAACCCAATGCAAAGAAACTAAGAACCTTGAAAAAAGGTTTGATGAAATGCTAACAAGAATAAACAGCTTAGAGAGGAATATAAATGAATTGATGGAGCTGAAAAACACAACACAAGAACTTTGGGAAGCATACACAAGTTTCAATAGCTAAATCGACCAAGCAGAAGGAAAGATATCAGAGATTGAAGATCAACTCAATCAAATAAAACGAGAAGGCAAGATTAGAGAAAAGAGTAAACAAATGAACAAAGCCTCCAAGAAATATGGGATTATGTGAAAAGACCAAATTACATTTGATAGGTGTACCTGAATATGACAGAGAGAATGAATCCAAGCTGGAAAACATTCTTCAGGATATTATCCAGGAGAACTTCCCCAACCTAGCAAGGCAGGCCAATATTCAAGTCCCGGAAATACAGAGAACACCACAGAGATAATCCTCAAGAAGAGCAACCCCAAGGCACATAATTGTCCGATTCACCAGGGTTGAAATGAAGGAAAAAATGCTAAGGGCAGCAGAGAGAAACTTCGGGTTACCTACCAAGGGAAGCCCATCAGACTCACAGCGGTATCTCTCAGCAGAAACCCTACCAGCCAGAAAAGAATGGGGGCCAATATTCAACATCCTTAAAGAAAAGAACTTTCAACCTAGAATTTCATATCCAGCCAAATTAAGCTTCATAAGCAAAGGAGAAAGAAAATCCTTTATGAACAAGCAATTGCTCAGAGATTTTAGGACGACCAGGCCTGCTTTACCAGAGCTCCTGAAAGAAGCACTAAATATAGAAAGGAACAACCAGCACCAGCCACTCCAAAAAAGTACCAAATGGTAAAGAGCATCAACACAATGAAGAAACTGCATCAACTATGGGCAAAACAACCAGCTAGCATCAAAATGGCAGGATCAAATTCACACATAACAATATTAACCTTAAATGTAAATGGGCTAAATGCCCCAATCAAAAGACACAGATTGGCAAATAGGATAAAAAGTCAAAACCTATCGGTGTGCTGTATCCAGGAAACCCATCTCACATGCAAGGACAAACATAGGCTCAAAATAAAGGGATGGAGGAAGATTTACCAAGCAAATGGAGAGCAAAAAAAAAAGCAGGTGTTGCAATTTTAGTCTCTGATAAAATAGATTTTAAACCAACAAAGATCAAAAGACACAAAGAAGGGCATTACAAAAGGATCAATACAACAAGAAGAGCTAAGGATCCTAAATATATACACACCCAATACAGGAGGACTCAGATACATAAAGTAAGTTCTTAATTACCTACAAAGAGACTTAGACTCCCACACAATAATAGTGGGAGACTTTAACACTCCACTGTCAATATTAGACAGATCAAGGAGACAGAAAATTAACAAGGATATCCAGGACCTGAACTCAGACCTGGACCAAGAGGACCTAATAGATATTTACAGAACTCTCCACACCAAATCCACAGAGTATACATTCTTCTCAGCACCACATCACAACTAGTCTAAAACTGACCACATAATTGGAAGTAAATCACTCCTCAGCAAATGCAAAAGAACTGAAATCATAAACAGTCTCTCAGACAATGGTGCAATCAAATTGGAACTCAGAATTCAGAAACTCACTCAGAACTGCACAACTTCATGGAAAATGAACAACTGGTTCTTGAATGTTGACTGGCTAAACAATGAAATGAAGATAGAAATAAAGATGTTCTTCGAAACCAATGAGAACAAAGACAAAATGTACCCAAATCTCTGGGATACGTTTAAAGCAGTGTCTAGAGGAAAATCTACAGCAATAAATTCCCCACGAGAAGCAAGGAAAGATCTAAAATCGACATCTTATCATCAAAATTGACAGAGCTAGAGAAGCAAAATCAAAAAAACTCAAAATCTAGCAGAAGACAAGAAATAACTAAGATCAGAGCAGAAGTGAAGGAGACAGAGACACAAAAAACCCTTCATAAAATCAATAAATCCAGGAGCTGGTTTTTTGAAAAGATCAACAAAATAGACAGACCACTAGCCAGATTAATAAAAAAGAAATGAGAGAATAATCAATTAGATGCAATAAAAAACGATAAAGGGGATATCACCACAAATTCCACAGAAATACAAACTACCATCAGCGATTACTACTCTATGCACATAAACCAGTAAGCCTGTAAGAAATGGATAAATTCCTGGACACTTACACCCTCCCAAGACTAAACCAGCAAGAAGTCAAAACCCTGAATAGACCAATAACAAGGGCTAAAGTTGAGGCAGCAATTAATAGCTTACCAACCAAAAAAAGCCAAGGTCCAGATGGGTTCACAGCCAAATTCTAGCAAACATACAAAGAGGAGCTGGTACCACTCCTTCTGAAACTATTCCAAACAATCCAAACAGAGGGAATCCTTCCCAAATTATTTTATGAGATAAACATCATCCTGATACCAAAACCCAGCAGACACTCAACAAGAAAAGAAAACTTCAGGCCAATATCCATGATGAACATAGATGAAAAAATCTTCAATAAAATACTGGTAAGCCAATTGCATCAGCACATCAAAAAGCTTATTCATCAGGATCAAGTAGGCTTCATCCCGGGGATGCAAGGCTGGTTCAACATACACAAGTCTATAAACATAATTCACCACATAAACAGAAACAAAGACAAAAACCACATGATTCTCTCAACAGATGCAGAGAAGGCCTTCGACAAAATTCAATAGCACTTTATGCTAAAAACTCTCAATAAACTACATATTCACAGACTGTATCTCAAAACAATAAAAGCTATTTACAACAAACCTACAGCCAATATCATACTGAATGGGCAAAAACTAGAAGCATTTCCTTTGAAATCTGGCACTAGACAAGGATGCCCTGTCTCACCATTCCTATTCAATATACTATTGGAAATTCTAGCCAGAGCAGTCAGGCAAGAAAAAGAAATAAAGGGTACTCAATTAGGAAAGGAGGAAGTCAAATTGTCTCTATTTGCAGACGACATGATTATATATTTAGAAGACCCTATCATCTTAGCCCAAAATCTCCTTAAACTGATAAGCAACTTCAGCAAATCTCAGGAAACAAAATCAATGTGCAAAAATCACATGCATTCCTATACACCATAACAAACTTAAAGACAGCCAAATCAAGAATGAACTGCCATTCACAATTGCTACACAAGAATAAAATACCGAGGAATACAACTAACAAAGGATGTAAATGACCTCTTCAATGAGAACTACAAACCACTGCTCAAGGAAATGACAGAGGACACAAACAGATGGAGAAATATTCCATGCTCATGGTTAGGAAGAATCAATATCGTGAAAATGGCCATACTGCCCAAAGTAATTTACAGATTCAATGCTATCTCCATCAAGCTACCAATGACCTCCTTCACAGAACTGGAAAAAAATGCCTTAAACTTCATATGGAACCAAAAGAGAGCCCACATAGCCAAGTCAATTCTAAGCAAAAAGGACAAAGCTGGAGGCATCACGCTACATTACTTCAAACTCTACAACAAGGCTACAGTAATCAAAACAGCATGGTACTGGTATCAAACCAATGGAACAGAACAGAGGCCTCAGAGGCAATGCCACACATCTACAAACCTGACAAAAACAAGCAACGGGGAAAGGAGTCCCTGTTTAATAAATGGTGTTGGGAAAACTGGCTAGCCATGTGCAGAAAGCAGAAACTGGACCCCTTCCTGACACCTTACATTAAAATTAACTCCAGATGGATTAAAGACTGAAACATAAGGCCTAACACCATAAAAACCTTAGAAGAAAATCTAGGCAAAACCATCCAGGACATAGGCATAGGCAAGGACTTCATGAGTAAAACACCAAAAGCATTGGCAACAAAAACCAAAATAGACAAATGGGATCTAATTAAACTCCAGAGCTTCTGCACAGCAAAAGAAACAATCATTAGAGTGAACTGGCAACCAACAGAACAGGAAAAAGTTTTTGCAATCTACCCATCTGACAAAGGACTTATATCCAAAATCTACAAAGAACTAAAACAGATTTACAAGAAAAACAAACACTCGTGCAGAACATGCAGGATTGTTGCATAGGTACATACGTGGCAATGTGGTTTACTGCCTCCATCCCCATCACCTATATCTGGCATTTCTCCCATGTTATCCCTCCCCAACTCCCTACCCCCCACTGTTCCTCCCCTAGTCCCCCACCACAGACTTCAGTGTGTGATGCTCCCCTCCCTGTGTCCATGTGTTCTCATTGTTCAACATCCGCCTATGAGTGAGAACATGTGGTGTTTGATTTTCTGTTCCTGTGTCAGTTTGCTGAGAATGATGGTTTCTAGATTCATCCATGTCCCTACAAAGGACACAAACTCATCGTTTTTTATGGCTGCATAATATTCCATGGTGTATATATGCCACATTTTCCTTGTCCAGTCTATCATCGATGGGCATTTGGGTTGGTTCCAAGTCTTTGCTATCGTAAACAGAGCTGCAATGAGCATATGTGTGCATGTGTCCTTATAATAAGACAATTTACAATCCTTTGGATATATACTCAGTAACAGGATTGCTGGGTCAAGTGGGATTTCTATTTCTAGGTCCTTGAGGAATCGCCACACTGTCTTCCACAATGGTTGAACTAATTTACACTCCCATCAACAGTGTAAAAGTGTTCCTATTTCTCCACATCCTTTCCAGCATCTGTTGTCTCCTGATTTTTTAATGATCCCCATTCTAACTGGCATGAGATGGTATCTCAATGTAGTTTTGATTTGCATTTCTCTAATGACCAGTGATGATGAGCATTTTTTCATGTTTGTTGACTTATATGTCTTCTTTTGAAAAGTGTCTGTTCATATCCTTTGCCCACTTTTGAATGGGTTTGTTTGTTTTTCTCTTTTAAATCTGTTTTAGTTCTTTGTAGGAAGCATATATTTATAAGCCACTAGACATTCAACCTCATTGACAGTACCTGAAAGGCTGGGACACTGCTCTTGGGTGTCCTTTCGTATCATCCAACCTGTGGAAATCAAAGACAGATGCTCATATATCACCAGGCTCACATGTTTTCACAAAGACCATAAGGCACATCAAATGGTATCAAACCAGTAAAAATATTAAGTTAGCAAATGGGAGAAAGCTTGCAAATGGATATTAGATTACCAAGCACCAGGCTTTCATCCTTTATCTCAGCATCCTGCAGAAAATGATAACCTCATCGTTGAGCAACATGAACCTTTTTTTCTTAGATCAGGAACTCTGTACATAGCTATAATTCTCTCAGATTACACGTGAAAACTAAATTTCCTGTGAATCTATTTGGTGTTTATCATACTGGCAAAACAGCCTTCTGCTATATGTGTCTCTTATTTATAAATCAAAGAAAAAAAAATTTGCTGCTTCCCATTATATTATTTTGTGGACTGAGGCCTTGCCACCCAGTATATTGTAATTTTAAAAATTGATGATATTTACAAATGTTTGCACTTTTTGATTCCAAAACCTTTTTTAACCCAATCTGAACTATCAGAGGGTTTCAAATGTTGTGATCGGAATTCAAGTCCCATCATTGATGCTGGTGAGTAGTTTGAGACTTCAAAGTCAACATGGTTTATAACTTTACAGGCACAGGTTAAGAATTGCTCATTCAATTTTCAAAACTAGAAGCTAAAGCTGCAGAATTAGTTTAGTTTGCCAAAGACTGGCATACAATACTTTTCTACAATCTATGATTCAATACAAAAGCCTCAGCATACCTGTGAGGATCCAACACAGGGCAAGAAACTCGCTCACAGGAGAAGGGGAGAAATCCAAACAGAATTTGAGACAGAGACCTAGAGATAACGGCTTTGTAGCTTAAGGTAGAATTCCAGAGACTGAGGTGCAGCAGTTGCTTTCAATAAACTTCTAAATTTTAGCTACTCCCAACAGTGATAAAATAATTAATAAACAGCACAAAATAGTAAACTTGGTATTTGTAGAACAATATTCAAAAGGGAAGATTACAGATTGAAGAGAAGATCAAATGTTCTACTCACAAAGAGAAGCACACTATGAATTGAACTGTGTAAAACAGATCTACCTAAATGCACAGGCTGGTGAGGTACGTGGCTGTCTCTGACTTTTTAAGGCACGTAGTTTGTCTCCCTGGGTTATACCATTTTTCATTTCCACATCTTCATCGTCTTCTAAGTTATTCTGGAAAAAAAATGCATGTACCATAGAAAGGTCCAAATTTGGCTTTATTTAGGTTTCTTAATAGATTACATATATAGATACATTTAATACAGGTTATCTTAATATAGATTAAGTAGCTATAGCTACTGTGAATCAGCATTGTCAAAGCTTACATAAAAGAACTCTCGACTATCTGCCAGTTCAACAGGCAACAGGTCAAATTCCCAATCAAAGAAGCATGGGTATAGATGTGGTAGAATATAAAAGGAGCTGTTTGTTACAATGGACCACAACAGAGGAGACTCTCTCCTGCAGACACAATCATGCATTGGAATATAGCCACATACAGAAAGCCCACAGATGAGGTACAAGTATGTTTTTAGATACCTCCAGGAGCCATCAGTGCAAATTCCATAACTTGTTTACAAAAATACAAGATAAAAATACTTTAGGATATCTATACAGTAAGTTATTAACACAGTAATCATTTAACACTAGTAAAAGCATGCAAGCCCTTTTCAGAGGATTTAAAGGACTGTGTTCACTAGATGTTCCCTTCTGAAATAAGTCTTTATCGTTTGAAAAATATAAGTACCGTGCTAGTATCTTAACACGCCAGTCTCTTCAATAACCCCGATGCAGGGGGAGGCACTGGTACCTTAATTTATCAATGAAAAAAGGGCGTACTCACAGAAGTTAGGAATATTGCCCAAGCTCCCATAAAGTCTTAATAACCTAATATGATTTCAAAATTAGATTTCTTGTCCTCAGATGCAATGTTCTTTCTAAAATATAAGCCACAGCACACTGTCATTGTACCAGTGAAGCATGTATTTTGCCTCTTTTCCTCAACTGAAAAATCAAAGTGCTTGGATTTGCTAAAATCTCTACCAGCCATAATAGTCCCCACCCCTATTTAAAACTATAATTCTTGTTTGATGAAAAATTTACTTCCACAGTCACATTTGAGTCACAATACCTCCTCACTCCCTGCCACCTACGTTGGGTTCGACAGGTAACTCTGGGACTCAGTAGGCATGTCCTGAGTAAAAAGACTGAACCTCACTACCACATCTCTGAGTTTAAAAAAGAAATAAAGAGCTGGGCATGGTGGCTCATGCCTGTAATCCCAGCACTTTGGGAGGCCAAGGTGGGTGGAACACCTAAGGTCGGGAGTTCGAGACCAGCCTGACCAACATGGAAAAACCCCGTCTCTACTAAAAATACAAAATTAGCTGGGTGTGGTGGCACATGCCTGTAATCCCATCTACTCAGGAGGCTGAGACAGGAGAATCGCTTGAACCCAGGAAGTGGAGGTTGTGGTGAGCCGAGATCATGCCATTGCACTCCAGCCTGGGCAACAAGAATGAAACTCCGTCTCAAAAAAACGAAAGAAGGAAAGAAATGCAAAGCACAGGGCCAGTGGGAAGAAAGAATAAGGACAAAACTTCCGAGAGGCAATCTTTTAAAGAATGGGTACAAGTGCTGCAGCTCCAGATCCCAGAGCAGGTCATCTGGCCCAGGAAGAATACCAGCTCAACAGTTACAGGATCATGGAGTCTTCATGACAGAGGATTCTCTTAGAGTCTCAAGTTGCACTTCTAAAAAATCTCCAGGAATCAGCTTTACCATTCAATTCCATCCATACAATCCCAATGGGAGAGGAACACATTACCATCCAAGAAAGTGTAGGAATAGAAATCAGGAAGGTCTGACGGCTAGGCATGCTAGTGGGATGAGCAGCTTCACCCGGCTGCAGTAAGTACTCAACAGGTTGGGATGTTACCAGTTACTTAGCACATAGCCAGAGTTTCCTGAACATGAGGTCAGGCCAAAAAGCATGTAGGCCCACATGAGACTGGCCAAACGCTTCTAGGAGGACCTGACAGGATCCTTACCACCATCAGTTTCACTGTCACTGGGTGCTTTGGTAGGATTTTGAAAACCAGGAAAGCTTATTTGTTCCTCCAACTAGGAGGATCTTTATGTTTCCCACCAGAAACACCTTCAAAATACTTTTTAAAAAAATTCTCAACCTGTAATTCAAAAATGCAACCTCTCAGGTAAGTATACAGGTAAAACAGATACAAAAATTTACCTCCCATACAATATTTCTGAGAAAACTATTATACAGGATATGCTCTTTAAACAAAAAGGAAAGATAACATGAGATCCAATAAAATTGGGAATCTAACTGAAGAATATAAAGAAGGGTTATAGAATCAAACTATATAGTTCTGATCCTAAGACTACACACACACACACACACACACACACACACACACACACACACACACA